TGCTGTCCTGGTGCTTTGGCATCTACCAAGCATCCGCACCATCATCAATTATTCACCACCTCAGCAGTGTGTCGTGTGTGTGTGTGTGTGTGTGTGTGTGTGTGTGTGTGTGTGTGTGTGTGTGTGTGTGTGTGTGTGTGTGTGTGTGTGTGTGTGTGTGTGTGTGTGTGCGCGCGCATGCACATATCATGTGGATCTCAGTGTGTGTGGTCACGATATGCTCTCATCGGATTTTTGGATTGCTGCATGTTTCCTCTCTCAGAAGCTTCTTTTCCTCTGCTTTCTGCAACATGGGCTCACTTCTGTGGATATTTGCAGGACAGGATTATGATGCTTCATTTATGGACATTGAACGTAGCTCTGAAGGCTCTTCAGGTTGAAGTCTTTTACTGGCCACAGCTGCGGACTGTTTTCGTTCGCTAGCGTTTTCATCATCCAAACTATATTCTTGGCTGTAAACCTGAACCTTTGTGGATCTATTTTGTTAATTTGTCAACATGCCTGAAGCTAATTATCTACGCTCTGTGTCCTGGGGATATATAAAGGTAAGAGGTTGTCTCCGATTGGCCAAATGTAATTAATTATTCGGGTATTTTTTACCACCCTCTATTTTGATATGATTGTTTTAATTATTTTCCAGGGAGTGGAAGTGTTTTTTTGTTACTGAGGTTAATCCTTGACACAGATTTGGAAGCAGGGTTATATGTTGTAGCTCCTCGCCCACTCGTTGAACAATGCTTTAAAGGTGTGACATTTCTGAATCGTTCATCCTTTTTGATGCATCTGTGATAGGGACAGATGGTGGTACTTGCACTGTACTTTAGAACGCCTAAACTGTTTGGATTTGCAGCAAAGAAAATAAAGATATGTAGTTCACTTTTTAAGTGAATTTGTATTTTAAAGCACAAACATTTTTACTACTTACTACTACTACTTGCTCATTTCATGTTTTTTTTATGCCACAATTGCCCTGCTACATGGAATAATACAGTCACACTTTTTGTGTTGGTCGCACATTTCTTTATGTTATAAGGGATGTTTTTAGGATGGCTGCAATTTGTAATTAAACAGAGATCTTTTTTTCTTAAATGTATAACAGTGATTGTATCTCATTGCCATTTCATTTACTTGTTTTAATAATTATGTGTCAAGTAAACACATCTGCACATGATGTGCATTTGTCGCTTTTCTACTCTATTGGCTATTATTAGCTGAAAAAAGCACTCTACAGATGGTGCTTTGCCTCTTGGGTGTCCATTTTAAAAAGCCACCTAATGAATGCCTGTGGGTGTTATTCAATAGAATGTCAATACTCAATTGCGCAGAAAGCATTCTGCAGTGTTGTAATGGCCTATTTTAAGTGATCAATATTGATATATATATATATACTCAATCAATATACATCAAGTGTGCATTTGGTACAAAGCCAGAATGATTTACACAATACAGTGGCGTTGTTTTTTTTTTTGTCTTTTCTTTTCTTAACTCACCTTGAAAGATCACGGATTTCAAGCATTCTCCCTTAAGTCAATCAGTTTGGTCCTCAAATCGCAACCCGGAGCTACATTTGTGTCTGCCACTTCAATTAGGCACACAGAAGAGAAAAGAGAGAATTGGGTGAGGGGGAGGCAGGGAGGAGCAGGCAGTGCTTCTGAAATTGGACAAACGAAAGTAGGAAAGTGGGTTTCCTGACCCCTAACCCTTTGAGCTGCTGTGTGTCAAGTGTTAAACCAGAAATGGTGACGTACCTGGGTCTGGCTCTTGTGATGTGATTGGAAATGTTTGCAAATCTCTTGCAGCTGCATCCAACAGGAGAGTTCATGCCGATTCAATCATTTGATTTCTTCACTGCCATCCTGAAAATGTGTTTCAAGGGTTTTCCGTTCATGGCTTCATGTTTTGCCTCAAATATATTTAGGGTACTGTTACAGTCAAATGAGCATAGTGTGTTTGGCTCTTGAATGGTGCTTGCCATTTCCTTGCATTATTAGGGAATCTTTATTTGAATAAGTGTAGGCGTATGATAGCTCTACATTACAATTAAAATTGTGTTTCTGTTTGTGTGCGTGTGTCCCTCTTTCAGTTCAAGAGGATGTTGAACAGGGAGCTGACTCACCTGTCAGAGATGAGCCGCTCTGGGAACCAGGTGTCTGAGTTCATCTCCAGCACCTTCCTCGGTGAGTTATGACACATGATAGACTCACCGGTTAAAAAGTAAAACAAACAAATCTCTTTATGCTTGACGGATGAAAAATAATGTGGTGCCAAGCGTCATCGTCAGCCTGTGGTGTCATATTTTTGACTTGGCAAAACACATGCAGTATTCATTTTTTTGTCTGAAACCTTGTTTAACTTTCTGGTTGAACCTTAACAACATTAACCCAAAACAACAACGATTTTATTCACCATCCTCATATTTACTTGCCACTGTTGTTTCACTGCGTCACCCCAGACAAGCAACATGAAGTGGAGATGCCTACCCCTCAGACGCAGAAGGAGAAGGAGAAGAAGAACAAGCCCATGTCTCAGATCAGTGGGGTGAAAAAGCTGCAACACTCCTCCAGCCTCACAAACTCTAATATCGCTCGCTTTGGAGTCAAAACGGAAACTGAGGATGAACTTGCTAAGGTGTGCAAACTACTGAAATAAGTTACACACTCGCATAAATGCAGCCACTCTCTGAAATTGACTTTAGGGTAGTTCTGATAATAAGGAAAGAACAGAAGGATATAACATGGGATGTTTTGTTTCTAATTGTGTCTATAATTCCTGTTTCAGGAGCTGGAGCATGTGAATAAATGGGGCCTTAATGTTTTTAAAGTCTCAGAGTTCTCTGGGAATCGGCCACTGACAGTCATGATGTACACAATATTCCAGGTAAGGGCCGTCTCTGCTTTCCTTTTTCTTAATCGTTTAATATAAAATGAATGCTTGTTGAATCTTGAAACAGTTTTGACCATGATCTCTATCTCCTGTTATTGTGTTTGTAGGAGAGGGACTTGTTAAAAACGTTTAAAATTCCTCTTGACACCTTTATAACATACCTGATGACCTTAGAAGACCATTACCATGGTGATGTGGCCTACCATAACAACATTCATGCTGCTGACGTCACCCAGTCAACTCACGTGCTGCTATCCACCCCTGCCCTCGAGGTGAGAGACACACACACACACACACACACACACACACACACACACACACACACACACACACGCACACACACACAGCATAGCATAATGACAGCAGGAAAAGGCTATCTCTCTGTCAACAGTGTATTNGGAGTGGGTTATCAAGCCCTCAAACAGCGAGTCTGCATTGGTGCTGACGCGCTTGTTTCATGACGGACACACCCAGCGTTGAGTCCGGACATGTAGGGCAGCGTCAGCACCAATGCAGACTCGCTGTTTGAGGGCTTGATAACCCACTCCCCCTCCACACTCGTTGGTTTGGAACAGCACTTAATGTGGCGGACCCTACGCGCAAACGCAGGGGTAGTTTGTAGGGGTAGGGTGTAGGGGGTGGTTTGGAATTGGGCCTCTGTCACACAACAGCAGCAAATCAGGGCCCAGATATGGAAGAAGTGTGAGCTCATCATCACCTCTAATTAGCTTAGATTGGAACAGACTCGAAGTCACCGATGTGATTGGCTGGGACCAAAGTCAGTGGAGAATGTACTGCTTCACTTTCCTTCCATTCCTGTAGTGCAGGAAGAAGTGGCTTTGCATTTGTACGTGTGTATGTACACACAGTATATGTTTTTGTTGTGTGTAGGCAAAACATGTTTACATAACATGGCATGGTTTGTGAGTGTATGCTTTTGAATGACTGACCTAACCCTGTCTGTAGTATGATGAACAAGAACAGGTTACCTCATCCAACATGATACAACACTGAGGTCAGCTTTTAGTGCTCATGCGAGATGAGTCACAGAAACATCACTATTGAAATGATGTTCTTCATGAAAACCAATTAATCCTGCAAAAAAAGCGAGCGTCACCGTTATCTGAAAGCACTGTTTCCACACAGGCTGCTGTGTGTCACTGAGCTCAAGATGTTGTTGCTTTAGTTGCAAACAATGATCATGGACGCTGATTGAAAGAGAAGTTTGAATGGAGCTGTATCATCAGTAACAGTACGAATGGTTCTCTTATGAAAAAAATCAACCATGAGCAAAAACAAATCATATCTACCTATTTCTACTGCCATTTGGCTATCTTCCATTTTGATGGGATTGCATTTTATAAGATCGTTTTCAAGAATATAAAAGAAAGTAAACTACAAATCATACATTAAGCTCAGTAAAGCCAAGCTGGAAAATATGTATATTATATAATCAATATTATAAAAATATTGATTATAGCCGCTGTAATGATGGTGGGGCATTATGCCTTTAAATCACAAAATATAATTATTTTAGAATATAAAAAGACAGTTTTTGATTCTATACAGAAAAGTTAAGTTAAGTCCTTAATCTTGAATGTACAGTTCTTCTTTGTTTCTCTCTCTTAGTGTGTGTGTGTGTGTGTGTGTGTGTGTGTGTGTGTGTGTGTGTGTGTGTGTGTGTGTGTGTGTGTGTGTGTGTGTGTGTGTGTGTGTGTGTGTGTGTGTGTGTGTGTGTGTGTGTGTGTGTGTGTGTGTGTGTGTGTGTGTGTGTGTGTGTGTGGTGAGTTGCAGAACAACTGCCTCTTTCCCTTCGACCCAAA